TAGCCCATGACCTCAGACATTTAACTTTTCATCCGGTAAAATACATACAGACACTATATTATGTATATAGACAGATAGTCCTACGGCCTCATACTCTCATATCGCACATATGTTTATAGGCCATGTAGCCTTCGACCTTATAGCCTTATATTCCTTGCAGCCTTATCTCCCTATTGCCTTACTCCCTCCAGGGCATATCGGTATCACAATACAATAGCCCTTGATGACCAATCAGTATCCCGCTAGGATAGCCATTGAGGACCTATGAGTAACCCATAGGATAGCCCTTGGGGACCAATGGGTACCTCCATAGAATAGCCCTGGAGGACCGATGGGTATTCCCACAGGATAGTCCTTGGGGTCCTATAGGTACCCCCATAGGATAGCCCTGGAGGACGTATGGGTTTTCCATAGGATAGCCCTAGAGGACCTATGAGTACCCCCATATGATATGCCTTCGGGACCTATGGGTACCCCCATAGAACAGTCCTTGGGGACCTATTGGTACCCCCATAGGATAGCACTTGGGACCTATGGGTATCCCCATAGGATAGCTCTGGAGGACCTATGGGTGTCCCTAGAGAATAGCCCTTGGGGACCTAGAGACACCCCCATAGGATAGCCCTTGAGAACTTATGGGTGCCCCCGTAGGATAGCCCTGTAGGATCTATTGGTACCCTCTTAGGATAGCCCTTGAGGACCTATAGGTACCCCATAGGATAGCCCTTGAGGATCTTATAAGTACCCCATAAAATAGCCCCTGGAAATCTCTCCCTTAGAGTCTTATTTGACCTTTGACCTTTGACCCGGCGCAGAGAAACACACAGACACACACACTGAACATTATATATATAGATTACACGGTTTAGTTTCAATGTAGCGAATGCTGTCGCATGTAAAAGAACTCTTCAACAATTGTTGAGTTGTAAAAATAATTTCGTGTCCTTTGCGTGTGCTTACATCTTGACCATAGCGACGTTCAAGTTTGATTCAAAAATTTTTGACGTGCGTCAACGATGGAAACAGAAATGTTTTGATGATAAATTTCGAAAATGCCATGTGACGACGCTTGATTTTGCATTTCTCGCCTTTTCCTCAATGTCAAAGTGTTAATAGTAGAAAGTATTTGATTCCACTGTCTAATCAATTTTGGATCAATCCATTCATGGAATGCTTCAGTCGACTTACACAACGATGTATCTAGGCGTTCGACGAATGCACATAGAAATAACCACAGTCTAGATTTTATATAGTTGGCTGAGTCTGATAACTCAACAAATGGAAGAACAGTTTTGTTAAAATTCTACTAAATAAATGTGTCCTACTCATGAGCTAAATAATGACGAAACTGTTTCAAGCCATATTGTTCGAGCTTGACATCAAGACGATCACCTCTGTAGCCATCGACCGTATTGTTGGATAAACTTTTCAGCTTACTGAACAAGATATGACCGAATCCATCCATTTGGCATACATTCATGCATTATATCTCTTCCACTTAAATGGTAAAAAAATAAATGCAAATTATTGAATGATGTTTTGAATCTAGTATTCAATAATCATACTAGGCAGGATGCACATGCCATCGAACATGGCTGAAGCCACATTCACGAAAATGTGATGATTCATCACCACATAGATATATAACTGGTGAATTAACAAAAGAACCCTGATCCATCGATACTTTGAATATGTTTTTTGCCAGATCGATAGCAAAATATAGAGGCCATCGAATATAACCTGAGCGATATTCATCATTATGAATTTGTGCATTTTTAGCCTCCATGAATTGGTTAAAGAAACGTTTAGTCGAATCGTAAAGAACAAACATACCTGTAGAAAGATTCGCACATAGTGCATTCTTATCTTTTTTCACTTACCTGTCGAAAATTGAATAGATTTACCATTATGAGCAGCTTCTCAAGTAAAAAAATGCATCAAGGAACAAACATTTTGTTCATTGATATTTTTGAATGAATCGTTGTTAAATATAAGTTGACAAAAAAACGTTTGACCCCAATTTGCTCTTATTGTGTTGTATGCATGCTGATTGGACGATAAAGAAAACAAGCTAGATGTATTAGAAAAACTGATCCTGTCATATTTAGTAATTTTCATAGTATCTTTCATAGGCACTTGGCAACATATCCAGATCATCATCTCGATAAAACAAATACCAATTACCATACATAGAAACAGAATTCAAAATTTTCGTAACAGTGATAAATGCATCAACAACAGTCCCCGAATAAAAAGAAATTGATATCATAACTTTGAAATTATTACCACGAATTCCGGTTAAATCAACAAAGCAAAGAAGGATGAAAAATTTGAGTTCAGTATTGATCGATCTCATAGATTGCTGAAATATCCGTGTAGAAAAAAGAATAGGAAAAGAAATTACATCTGAATTCTTATAATTTTCGTATTGATGATAATAAAAAGCAACAGAGTGCACAAGGGGTAATTCACAAATAGCAAAAGAATAATAAAATAGTGATAAAAGAAAGGACTTTGGAAAGTGATAGATCGAGCTATGTAGAATATAATTTTAGAGATTGATAAACTATATAGAAGAAACAGAGCTCTCCCGTAGCACGATAGATACAGTCACAAGTGTAGAATTCCTTAAAAGAACAAGAATTTTATACAAGATTTAGTTATATTTAAGCTGGAAAAGGATTTCTTACGGGTTGTTTCCACTTTTAACACAAATAATTGTCAGTATATGTTCCCAAACAAGATTCTATATTACTGATTTGCATCAAAAAGCAAATCAATAAAACATAACGTAATCTTTAAACCAAGTTCGAAGCAAATTTTAGATAAATATTATTTTTTATTTTTTAAATAGATTCCTTTTTAGCTGTAACTGTAAAAAAAATATTGATGAAAATTACTGACGATTATTTTCATTCGATTTTATTTAGATGAAATTTAATGCAAGACAACGCAGAAATGTGCGATTTGAAAATGATTCATTAGAAAGATATTATGAAACAGTAAAACAACAGCTTTGAATTGTAGAAAGATTTTTATCTTCAAAACTAAAATCTTTTGTTGACTTGAGTGCTGTGAAAGACCAGCTTTCAAGTCCATTAACTGGGAAGAGAACGGATGAAACCATGATTACGTGAAAATATGAATCATAATACACACACAAATGAAGCTTGTTCTAGTAAAAGCAAGAAAAAATGCCTGCGACATCTTGATTTGAGTCTAGTAACGAGAGAAAAGTAAGAAAGGAAGGTCGTAGAAAACCCAATGAGAACATGGTATACCGCCTAATTTTGATGAATCACTGTCTCGATGTATTTTTAATGACTTGGCATTGCTTATTTGAAATAAGCAAGAAATTCATTCGTAAAAAAGAAAATTTTGTCTGTTACAGTGAATAAAGCTCAGTACGAGCACCTTGTACTAGTAAACGATGATAACAATATCTTTTCATCATATACGTTCGATGATCCATGAATTTTTAACAAAATTGAGGTAGTTGTGCTGTCTCAACGAACAAATTTTCTATCGATTATCATGAACCACTGATCAAGTCGAATAGTTTCAAATATGGATTGAATGTCGTATTCTATTGTTGTATTGCAAAGGATAATTTCTGTTTTGAGTCTAACGACGTAACGAAATCTGATGAGTTTTTGATTGTGTACTATTCTTTATGAGTGATTGCTAACAAAGTGTTGTATATTTTTCGTATGAAACAAACATAATAACTTTAATAGTAATGAATTGACTTTAGAGATGATGAACTTTTTATCTACTCGTTATTGCCTTTCATGGCTTACTAAATTTGTCTATACGTTGGATGGATAACGATCTTTTTTGATTTCTGTACTCGTATATAATCAAAACTATCTCACAAAAATGCGACTGATTGTTGTAGCCTCTGCAGAAAAAATTGTAATATTTGTACTTCAGACATTTTTTTTCTATCTTCTCTGACATCTACGTGGATTGTCGACTCATTCATGACCACAGTTAATCCATTAAACATTCGTCCAGTTGACATAATGAAACAGTTAAAAACAAACAGTATCAGGAATCGAATACACATTTTATTTGAGCTTAGATAATGCATTTATCATAGAGCTCTGAACTTATTTGAATTAGAAATTCACTGTGAGACACTTAGTCATGCATAAAAAACAATGACACGCTTTCAGAGAAAATTGTCGAACAAATGCATGGAACGAACACTTGTCTGAAGAAGACAGAGAAGTAGAAGCGTTCACAGTCATAAAGTTCGAAAAATTGAAAATAAAACTAGGAAAACCTAAATAGATCGTATGAGTAACATCTCAGCGTAAATACCTGCTCATTCTATCTCATCTAGCTTTCATTCCTAACTCTAATTAGAGATGATCAATAGGTAATTTTCAATTGAGTTCACTTGAAAGTTAGCATAGACATTTTCTCCTTGTAAGGACACTTTTCGTATCTGATTATGAGATATTAAAATTCTCTTTGAAATTAATTGACATGAGATGAATCATAAGTTGATCTCATGAATAACGTTCAAGGAAATACATATTCAATATGCTCTCGATTCTGGCATTAGCTAAGCAAACATTTGAGATCCTTGTAAGAACTTGATCTTGAACAAGTTCTCAAAGATTTTGTAAAGACTCATTCAACATTATTTTCAGCGAATATTGATCGGCTCTTTGCCTGGGTCGGTACCAATCTTGAAGTTCAGTCGACAAAATCAATGCTTAATAAATTTCTTTTTGAAATCAATATAAATTGAATCGAAGTTCAGCCAACAGACTCAACTCTTCTATTTTCGAAATCTTCTTTAACAATTTTTTTTGATATTTCGATTCTTTTGGAAATATGCAGTAATAAAAAACAAGTTGTTGTCTCATTCATTTATTTATGCAGATGGAAAAAGTAACAGATGATTGTTCAAACTATAACAAAATCGATTTCTTTACCATCATTTGACGAAGTATCTTTTTGAAAAAGGTTTCATTTCAATACATGTTTCAGGTGTGTTTTTTTAATTTGCTTTTTTTCTTCTGGATCAGCCGAATAACACGTTCAAGATCGATTTCCGCTGACACTCGATTGGGATGTCTTTGTGGTAGGACTTTCGTGTAAATGTCGACAACGCGTTCAAAACTTTGCTTAGCATCATCTAGTGTACGTAGATCCAATTGAATGGCGCCCATTTCTTCTAATAATTCAGCTATAACCTGTGAATAGGCTGGGAGATTTCTTTCGAAAATAGCTAATGCTCGCGTACACATCTCGAGAGCTTGGTGATGTTTTCCAGAATCTTGATAAATGTTGCCGAGTGTGGCTAAAATGGTACCGACAGGAACCTCGTTGACTAGTTGCAGAGTCTCTTGCAAAGACAAAGCACGTTGTGTCATTTCAATAGCTTTATCGAATTCTCGACGAGCCCAATGAGCATTGCCAATTGCAAGTAAACTGGCTACTTGAGCAGCGACATCATTTGGATGAACACGTTCACGAAGAGTAAGAGCACGCCGATGATAAACCAAAGCTAAATCATATTGACCACGACAATGATGAATATTGCCCAAATCAGCTAATGTGTCACAAAAATCTTCACCCGTCTGTGAATAGATACGAAATCAAGTTTGAATTTAGATATTTCTTACTCAATATCTAACCTGTTCCTAAATTTTCAATGCCTGTGTGTGACATTCCAAAGCATAATCGTAATCTTTCTTCTTTTCAGCACACAACTGCCCGATGATGTTTAGAATTCGAGCAGAAACAGGATGAATACGTCGATAGGCAGCTAAAGCCAAATCGATTTCGCCTTGTTCCAAATGCTTTCGTGCTTCCAATTCATCATCGTTGATAGACGAACTTTGAAAAGAGATCAATATGAACTATTCTTCAACACAAATAACAATAAATCAACGCGATGTCTTTGTGATACCTGGTGGAAATAGAGGTTGTCGGTATGATTGTTTGAAGTGGTAGTGGTGGAGGTGAAGGAGGAGTTTGAACTCGAGGAAGTGCCAAAAGCTGATCGAGTATTGACTTGATCGATTGATCACGATGTTGTTCAAGATAATCTTGTGCAATCCGTTTTCCATCTCCGATTGCTGGTTTCATCTTAATGACGGACATTTGTCCTCGATGAACATTGATCACTCGGAATGAAATTGAAATATCGAAGATAATCACATTCGATAACAATTTATTTGATAATTGACTGTACATACTAGTAGAATCACAATCAATTTTAAACAGAACAGATGAAAGATCAGAACGATAGCCTGGTGATGATGGCAATGATAACGCATGTGTTCTTGACTTTAGTACATGGGAAAAACCCACTTGTACATACAAGTTGACCAACATGACTTTCGAATTGATCTAGAATTTCTTTGGTTAATTTCATTCCTCAATAAAATTGATCACTGGATTTATGTTTCGGTTGTTGTTGAAAGAAACGATTGGCATCAATAAACATATATTGGCACACATTCAACTGTTTCAAATTGTGAGAGCGAATGGCATGATGAAGAAAGTGATTTGGAAATGGAGAACGAAAACACCAATGAAAAACTTCGGATGATCGATAAGACTTTTCAAAGCCATCAATGATTTCCATTATTCGACCATTGTCTCGATAACAAAGTCGAGCCATTTCAATGAAAGCAGTTTTGTTTGACGATGATTTTCGATTTGTTAGCTAAATAGAAGAATTTATTTAGTCAAAATTCATGTTCAAAATCTTCGAGCAAATGACTGACCTCTTCTTTCCACAATTGATACCAGAGAAACAACGTTTCTTTTTCAAATGAAAATCTTTCGAGTTGAATTTGTTCGAAAGTATCGAGTGTCTCTTTCAATGATCGAAATAACTCTTCTTGTTAAGTAAAAACACCGATCAATTTTGGAAAATCACCTTTGATTTCTTGAGAATTGGGATCAAAAATAAATATCGCTTCAAAATTCAATGTTAACAAACGAACAGATGAAGAAAACTTTCTCCTTAATAGAGCGTATGGCATCCAAACAAGCTTCAGAATTCGAATAAGATCGAACAGAATCATGTATCGATCGAACGGGACCAATTAGATTGATTGACGATGATCCCTCAGCATCCAAACGGACAAAAATAACACTTTCATGATTATCCTCTCTCCTTATTGGATGACGATCATCTTTGAGAAACATTTTCGACATGTGCGGATCGATCTGTCTTCTTCATCTTGCTCGCCATTGATGTTGATGTAGTGATTGAATTCGGCGACAAAATGTTTTTTTACTCATGATCTATGATTGAATATCAGGTATTCAACTTATCTAAAACAAAATATTCACTATCAAATCTAACTTTTGCTCAATACATAATGAACTCGGGAAATCGCTGAATGTCCTCGTAGAGTCAAACGATACGATCATTGATTTCTAATTTTTAATGACTATTTCGATCACTTCATAATGATGACATAATGGTAGCTAAGAACATCTAAAAGAGATTCTCATCTTAATGTATTTGTTTGACAATTCAAAAGATTCAGTTAAACTGCGTTTACCTACCTATCTCAATATAAAATTGATTTTGAATCAATTTTGATCATGTTCAATAGTACAAAGCAATATTTGATCTGGTAATCTTCTCCTAATTCCTGAATCGAATCAAATCGAGTCTGTGTTCTACTGATCTTCTACGGTGAAATCAAGAAGAATCTCCTATCCATCTAATCTTATTGATGTCAATCAATTATTTTTTTTTATAAACTGAGATGATAGTCTCCGAAAATATTTGATCACAAATCTTTTACTGAACTCACTAAATTGTTTTCAAACGATTGGAATTCGAAATGATTCTTTGACGTGAATAATCCATTGTCTTTGTGTACTTTTCTTCGTATGAAAACAAAATTCACAAAGAAATCGTTTCATCGCTCAGTATGCATCTATGACAAAGAATTACAAACAAAGCAGTCGATTATAGAAAAAAATATTTCGATGTTGAGTGTACATAACGATGAAGAACAAACACACTGTCGAGTAAAAAATGTTTCAGTGAATGCAAACAATTCAAACGTTCTCATCGACGAGAGAATGTTTAACAATGCCAGGTGCATCCTAATTAGTTGTTTAACTGTACTCTTTTTCTTCTGCAAAATATTCAGAAAGAGGAATTCGATCAGTGTTAATTGTTTATCAAGAGAGATTCTTCCATCTTTTATGATTTTCTCGAAACAAATAAATTACCCAAGACTAATTTTTTTGCCAGATGATTAATAATGAATAGATGTATGAGTCAAATGTAAGATAGTGCAAATACTCGAAAGAGCGAAAATTATTCGAGCCTTCTTATAATTGATATTTGATAGAAGTTCAGTGCTTGAATTTTCCACATAAAAAGCTTCGTCCTTCCTTCAACTTCTTTGAAAATTGGTTCTTCTACACGCACTTTGCAATTACGATAAGATGACCAAATGTTCTTGCTAACAGCACATGAAATGAGATTGGCATCGATCAAAAGATTCTGAACCTTAATGAAACATTCATATCTCGTGTAATTAATTTCGATGCTTCAGATGGTACAACAATCATGTAGAGTGAAAAATCGAGGATAACACTCATCTCAAACCGAATTACAGTTTTTTTGTTGTATACCAAAAACAAACACTCTAATTGAATAATATGTTCAATGACTCATTGTTGAACGCAACACAAGGTCTATGATACTATTTGCTCATCTGAACACGATAAAAATTGAATTTTTTAAACCAATATTGTTTCAATTTTGAGTAATTCATCATCAATATGGTTTCTTTTGTCACTAATCAAGAGACAATACTGTTTGCTATGTCTAGAAGCTCGAAAAAACAGAAGAAATTTGGTGAGAAGTATCTTTTGTAAGGGATTTTCATGAGTAAGAAATGTTGTAGCGAAAGTTTTCTTATGGTTAAAACAACGTTCATTAAAAAGCTTTATCGAAACTGACTAAATCTTTTGATGTGCTACTTCGATATTGACACTTATTTTACTTTGCCATGTGTTTTGTTGCACTATACCACTTCTTCACTATGTTGTTTACCATGTTCTTTGCTTTTATTTTCATTATTTCTTTCCAGTTATTTGCGACAAAAACCTATTCGTCTTGCAATTGGCCAATGTAGACTAAGAGTAAAAGTTGGAAGGAAAAAACGGAAGTGTTCTTTCACAACAAGCATAAAACATTCTATGCCGTCAGTCAGATGTGCAGCATGACTATAAGTAACACAAGACTTGTTTTCTGATAATTATGAAAAGTTATTCGTTATCGAGTTTCTGAAAAACTTCATCCGTTGGTATGAATGAAAGAGTATCGATTAACACAATCTATATTCTTTTTTTACGACTGCCATATAAAATTCAGTTCTACATGTAATTTAGAACTTCTTAGAGTATTACACACATCTTTCAAGCTTTTTTCAGTTAATGTTCTTGAGTCTGTTTGTCAAGATGTCTAGAATTGACGTATAAAGATGGGCCAGGATGTGAAGATTACAGTATATAGTCACTGAATTTAGTTGGAAATTCGAGAGCTGAAAGATAATATGAGTTTAACAAAAGCTATTATGAAACAAGGTAAAGTAAATCAGATGTGGATGCCAACGAATTTTTTACCAATTTTATTTTATACTATCCTGAATTTCAGATTGTTATTTGTCTCTTAATTATTGCACGAACGACGTGAGGCTTATCGATACTACATTCATTAAAAGAGGTAAATTAATTTGAATCGAGTGTGAGTGATAGATTCCTAAAAGAGTTCTCAGAATTTCGATAGAATCAATACTTAGATAGTTACTAAAACATGTGTAAGATATGATAAAAGAAAACATTGAACTTAAGAAATTAATGATTTGATTACTTTATTTACAGTGTCGTCATGAAGATAATCGTAAACAATCTCACTGGAGAAGGACGAACTTATCAATTTGATGTTGAACCTTCTACTACTATTAAACAACTTAAAAAACTTCTCTGTGAGAAGGCTGGTGATAATGTGAAAAATATACTAAATATGTTGTTGACTTTTGATAAAGACATACTCGATGAAGATGAAGCAACACTCTTGTCTTATGGTATGGAAGAAGATTCTCAGCTAAGATTATCTGATCTCAATATGCAAGCTCGAAACTTTGGTGTTATTGGACTCAGATTTGTTGATGTAAGCAATAGTACAGGTTTAAAACGACGTGAATGGTGTAAAGATGCTCCACGCTGGAGAAGAACGAGATGTGGTTTATGTCTTGAAGGTCAATGCAATAATTCTGAATGCGAAGCTTACAATCGTACAGTTATTATGCCAATGGGTTATACAAAATTCGATGTTCTACTCGATCCCAGTGATACCAAAACTGTGTGTCCTCTATGTAAAACTTACGTTCAGCCGACTAATTGTGGTTTTAATAATTGTTGGTGGAAGTTCTACGGAAAAAAGCAGGACGAAAGTAATGATAAGAAACCACCACAAAACTGTTCGAGCGATTGGAATCAAGTGGATGATGCATATCATTATTTTGACCAGCTCAAAAGTGGCATAGCGATCTGGAGGCAACTTGTAATTGAAGCTGTCAAAACGAAACCTGTTCAATGATTGTGTACTCATCGATTTACAGACTATATGTCACTTCGTGTCTGAATATCAAATGTTATTTTATTCGATTCAGAGTAAAAACCTCACAATGTTTCCGGGAAAATAGAACATCATTGTTCAATGGTTCTTCTATAATTGTCAATCACGAACAAAAAAAAGTCATCATTTTCTTATTGTTATTTTCGTAAAAAAGTCAGTTTACTTATTTCTATCGGTTCATGACATTGTCTTTCAAAATTTTTGATGAAATCGATCAAGTGAAGTAAAAGTTATATCGACTCGTTCTTCTTTTTGCTCGGAATTTCTTGGATTTTCATCGATATTTTTTACGGCACCTGGACATAAAAAGCATTGGTCTCTAAAATTAAGACCCGAATGAAAGCAAATATCCGTCGCAAAACCGAACATGTACAAAACTGTATTGAAAGCGAACTATTTCTTAGACTTGCTAGCGATTCATTCCTTAGATTAATGTTGGCTAGGAGAGAAAACGAACTTCTTATTATGATATTTCATTCAGTCACATTCATTTTCTGAAGTTCGATTCCTCGAAATGAAAGAATTCGTTATGACTCGAGAATCTGCATTTATTTCCATTGTGAAAATCGAACTTTCCTTAAAAGACTGAATATTAAATCGGATTCTGAATGAAACCACATTGCCATTAAACATCGATTTCTTCATTATTGGGTTGAGATGAAGAAAAAAACAGAAGCATTCGTCTTGTCAGTAAGACAGAACCAAGTATCCATTGATTAAAGCAAGGAAGTTTATGCAAAAGTTGTTCATCTTTTCTTGTTTTTCGTGATTAATGTACTGTATCATCTGGTCGAAAACAATCTATTTGATCCGTCTGATTAGATGCTTGCCGATATCTCTGTTATCTATTTATATTAAACATATTCGATTTGATAAAACATAATTTGTCTTTCAGAATTAAATGAAAAAAGAACTAAACGATTTATCTTGAGAGGCGACGAAACGTGCTTTCATATATTACTTTTATGCAAGAAGAGACAATCGAATATTTGCAAAATAAAACGAAAAACAAGATAGAAATTTTTGAGATACTCATTTCAGTTCATTGCTGATAAACAAGTTATTTCCATTTGATCAATCTAGATTTTGAATGTTTGTGCACTTCTTCAGATCTAAAGTAGAAAGATGCATTATTGTTTTTTGGCCAACCGGACACACCTCAAAATCTTTGATAGTCAATAATATTACTATTGATTCAAAAATAAATTCTTCATCTTTTGTTTTTATTATTCATATTATTTTCGATCGAGATAAATGACAAAAGAAATCAATATTGGAATTCGATTTCATCTCAGAATAGACTAAAAATTATTAGCCATTAACAAAATAGATCGAACCGATGGAAAAATGCACATTATGTAAGTAAAAAAACGTTGAATTTGTAAAAGAACTATGTTTTCAGACATTTCGGCTTTATGACAATGTGGAACTCTCTTTCTTTTCATTCTTCACACATTTCTCTTCAGCTTTAGTTTTATTTTCTTGTTCTTTGTGATCTTTCATCGGTGATTTGATGAGATGTTCGCAGTCACTGAACACACATAAACATCGTATTCGATCGGTTTTAGAAGCATCGTTTGAGTTAAATCTCAACTTCTCGCTTCTAAAGTAGCAATAGGTTTACAAATCACATGGGGAAGTTAAACAACGAAAACATTTCTCTATTAGTCTTGTATTTCTTCGAAAAGAAGACTTTTTTCAGTGAATTCGTATTTATGTTATTAACACTGATTTGTAGTTATTTCGATATTACTTTATTTAATGAATTGAAATCTGATGAAACATGTGTTTTCTCTAGCTGTCAATTACAAATTTATATCGCCTTTACTTTCACATGTAAATAAATGATTAAACAAAAAACAAAGATTCTCAAAACCACACACATATAGAAGCAATGTTTCCATTCTTAAGCATTTCAAACAAAACAAAGTGTTCAAGGTAATTAAAGTTTTAAAACGATATTAGGTTCTTCAGTTTTCTGGAAAAAAAATAAGAGCGTTAGTTACACAGGTGTTCCATTAATGAGAAACTGTGTAGTCATCAAAATGTCCATCATATAAAGAAAATTTTCCTATCGTATAAAATTTGAAAGACAATAAATTCATAAGATAAATAATGACAAAAAAGTATACATATTCATTTCACTAGATTTAAGGAATATTTCTCTGAATTAATTTTTACCATCATATGAATATTGAAAATAAAAAGAAAGATTAAAATTAAAGTAGTTATTGTTGCTCTTGTTTGTGCATTTTAATACATTCGTCACAAATTCATGAATTTTATTCGATTGAAATTTCTAAGATAATATGTTCGAAAAGAAGTAATGAGAAAAGTATTGATCAAAAATAAGATTGAAAATCTAAAAACAAGAAAAAGAAAAACTTACTTCTTATTTTATTTAAAACTAGAATAAAAATACCACGACGATAAGCAAATTTTCAATAATGCCACTACAAATAAGCAAACTGCTTTTTCCACTTTGCCGAGTACGATTACGGTACATCATTATTTCGAGTAAAATTCAAAATCCAGTACGTTTTCAAAATCGTATGTACCTTGAGCACTTTACTTTTTCTTGCGCTACTTATATTGGAAACACTGATGTTGATTACTTCTCAAATAATAGGTTAATCCATTACCTTGCATAGCAGTTCCAGAAGAGCATCTGATTAAAGAACTTTATAAATAAACGACTATCAACCTGTCGAATATGATCATGATACAGTCTGATTTACTGAGTGTGCATATCTTTGTATAGGATACGTTGATTGGTCTAATGACCGCATTGTAAAGAAAAGGGATTCAACCATATACTAAGCCTTGATTTTTTTTTCTTTTCAATCAAATTATTGAGGGAGTATAAAAGCAACATCAATATCGATCTTATTGTCGTAAGAAAAAAAAAAGGAAGGACTGAATCGATGAAAATTAATATCAAAAGAATACATATGTTATTGACACACCTTTCTAGCTAAACATTTATTATGCTTTGAGTCATTTTATAACATCTGAGGCCATTTTGTTCATAATAAATACTCTGTAACTTCTCATGAGTTGAAGTTCATAATGCACTTATTAGTTTTTTTCTCCATTATTCTTCAGCTGCTCAATAATGGCTGAATGGTTCGTTGTATGCCTTGTTAAATGTGATCCGTCAAGTGATCGTGAAGCTTTTGAAACATATCCAATTCATTAGTGAGTTTCTTCATCGATTTACATCACACACAAACTTCGAAATATCTCTATACAATGTATAGATGAAGAACATTTCGTTTCGAAAAATTCAAAATTTTCCATTTTTACAAATTTATCGGTTTTGCAGTCCTGTTATCTCAACTCGTTTTTAAATCTCATGCTTCCTTTTTTTTCTAAAATCGTTCTACGAATGGTCACTTCAGTGATCAACAGGGGGTAAAAGGTTAAAATACAATACGTCAATTTCAAACCAATGAAATGTGTGTTATATAAATTGTACGGAGGCTGTCGCTCAGGTTTTTCTCTTGTTCTTCTGATTGATGGTCACTAAGTGTTGTTCATTTTAGACTTACTTATTTTAAACAGCAATGGAAAGAAAGTGAGTTTTTTTGTTTGTACTAAAGAGTTTTTCAATGCATGAAAAGATAATATCTCTGTTAGTTTCACTAGTCCTACGTTTCCTAAATCAACAAAACCATCGAAAGGTCGACGTCGTGAATTGACTGAAGAAGAAAATGATGAAATTAAAGAAGCATTTGAATTATTCGATAATGATAAAGATAATGAACTTGATTATCATGAATTCAAAGTATATATATTTGGTTTATTTTTGTTCATTTCATTACAATATCTTCTTCTTTTAGGTTGGTCTTCGAGCATTAGGTTTTGATGTTCATAAAGCAGAAGTTCAAAAATTAATGCGTGATTATGATCGTCAAGGTAAAAATAAAATAACTTATCAAGATTTTCATGAAATTGGTAAGTATTTTATTCAATTAATGTCTATAAACTAAACTAATTATTTATTTAGCTGCCGAAATGATACTTCAACGTGATTCACGTGATGAAATACTTAAAGCATTCAAATTATTTGATGATGATGAATCAGGAAAAGTCTCATTAAAAAAATTACGACGTGTTGCAAGGTAAATATAGCAATATGTATAAGAATATATTTATTTATTTTTAATTATAGGGAACTCGGCGATAATGTTAATGAAGAAGAACTTAAAGCAATGATCGATGAATTTGATTTAGATGGTGATGGAGAAAGTATTGGAAAAAAAACAAAGTTTATTATTTAAAAATTTGAATAATTATATATTTTTTTTCTAGTTAATTTTGATGAATTTTTGGCTATGCTCAACTCAGATTAATCCATATAAAATGAACTGAATGAGTCAGATTGAAGTCGTTTTTCTTCTTATAGACATGTTTACTGTAGATTGTTCTCTGAACTAAAATAAAATATTCGAATATTTCATTTTAATTTTAATATTTTCTAGATTAAAAAAAATGTTACATGAAAACTGGCATCGTGTTGAACAATCTAAATCAAAAGTACGTTTCGAATTCTATATCTAAGTTTTCTCGTGTACAATTTATTTGATTTCTATCATTAGCCAAAAAAAAAGTCAAAAGGAACATCTCATGTACGCGATGAATCAATTGATAGTACATTTGATGCTACGCTCGAAAGTGCATCAAAGGTGACACAAAAAAAATGTTTAATGCAATTCTAATAAGACATATTCATGATTCTTGTAGAATTTCTTTCTTAACATGATCAATAAATCAATATTTTCTAATTCTACTCATTTACAAACATTGATTAAATGCTACATTTATTTAGAAAAATATAGAATAAGATTAATTATAATATCTGCTTTGCTTAGAAAATTTTCTTATGAAAATATTTATCAGTAATATTCAAATAAATAATTAGTTTTTATTTATAGTCTACTAGTTTTGCTGCATCATCAAAACAAAAATCAGTTCGAAGTTCTACTACTGATGAAACAAGCGGTTGGGCAAATGACATGGCTGGCAACGATGATAGTGGGTAGGTTAATATTGAAATAAAAAAAAAAATGGAGTCTGATTCTGTTATAACAAAAGTTCTTGAAAAAAATAAGTTATTTTGTTGAGAGAAAAAATCCATCGTCTTTTGAATAACTTTGTTTCGTTATAGTTTAGCTTTAAATTTGAAAAATCGTTTTAGAGATAATACAATTGTACCTCCAGTAATTCGACGAAGTACTCGTCGAGCAGCCGAAGAAATTATTGCTACAGGTAACACTTATAAAGAACTAATGATATTTATAGTATCTTTTGTCTTTTGTTGATAGATATCCCTACAATTCCAATGGATGAAGCTGATAATGAAAATGCAATTGACATGACACTACAAGTAGCTGTTGCTCCAATGTAAAAAAAATAATATTAAATTCTATATATAAATTTCTCAAAATAAGTTTTCTTTTAGATTTTCTGCTAATCAAATGGCTTCTTTCAAAGAAATAGAAAAAGACTTGTCTCGTGCAAACATCAGTCAATATATTGTAAGAATCACGATTAACTGTATTATGTTGATATAATTTTTCTTTTAATAGAATCCTAAAATTGATATTGGTATTTTATATCAGGAGCTTCATTTACAAGAAGAATCTAGTGATGAGGTAAAAACTATTATATTCTCAAAACTTATTTCTTTTATATATAAATTTATTTACGAAGGATCAAAAACCATGGAATTGGGACAAAATTTTTGTTGAAATTCGAAATGCAATAACAAATCCGGCAACGGAATGATAAATTTTATCTTTGTTTTTTTTTTTCTTTTCAATAATGAATCGTGCATATAATTGTTGAATAAAGAGCTTCTAAAGAATCATTTCTTTTTTTTTTTGTAAATTTGTGTTGTGCATTCAGTCACTTTCAATCACCATTAGCTAATATGAAAGTTGAAAAAAAAACAAGTCAGGCATATTTATTCTTTCATATAAATTTTTTCTTTTGTTCAAGTTGGTGTACAAGTCAATATTCAGAAACAATTTAATGTGCTAAACTAATAAAGCTATTAGAACTTTTTTTCTATATTTTCTTTATCTTAAAAATATGTAGCATTAGAGTTTTATAAAAGAGTCAATGAAAGAACAGAAACTAACTGATCAGTTCAATGACGAAGATATATATTTTGTGATATTTTATTGTAAAAAATATTCTAATGAAGATCTCGAGTAGATATTTTGAAGAGATCAGCTTGTCAATCTAATATATGTGAAAAAATATCGATGCGGAATGTAAATATGAAGAAAATAATATAATATGCAGATAAACATCAAGACTTCGTTTTATATAGACATACATTAGGATATGTATCACAATTATCGAAGATGCCGTTATCTGTCTCTTGTTCACTTCTGATTTCTTGTATAAATATTTATATACATCAGAGTTGACTTTAAAATGCAGAAACACTAAATTGTTATGTAATAATTGATAATAAATGATTTTAAACTCAGAACAAGTATTCGATGTGGATTTATCCAATAACTTCTCTTTATATTTGTTGTACTATCATAACATTTTGTAATGAAGAAAGCATTCTGCTCGAAGTTAGATGCCTATTTAAAGGCATTGAACATCAGACAGCAATCAGAGTGTAGGTATAAAGAGTACGCCCACATCCTACTCACTATTGTCATATCTTTGTTCAATGTTCGTTCGTTTTTCTCCATTCCATCTATTTAATAAACATGATATTTGCTATATAAGTAAACCTTTACTACTTTACATTTTAAAGCCAATTTCGACGTAACTATAAGTATACAACACAACTCTCTAATGTATCTCGAAAAGTAAATCTCAATTTGTCTCTCCGTTACTACAGTTTAAAATTCATTGAACTCAACAAACAAAACTTAAGAAAAACGATATCGTTACCTGGACATATAAAAAGAAATCGATTAACGATGTTTAGATAAGATCGGACATATCAAGTTTATCTTCTTACCCAAGCAGACAAACATTTTCAAAAACCCGTTTAAACTCACAAAAAAGGGCTTAAAATCTACAAAAAGTGGATGTGTTTGGCTCACAATCGCGGTTCCCGACTGTCAGAGAAAAACAACCACTTTTTGCCCTTTTTGTGCGTTTAAACGCGTTTTCAGCAAAAAAGCGCTTGTAAACGCGTATAAACGCATAAAAAGAACATAAAAAGTAGTGGTCTTTTTCATTTTCGTGAACTGTAATTGTAATTATGTTTGGGATTTACGAGTATAAAAAAGATGACAACTTTTTATGATCGTTTTATGCATTTATACGCGTTTAAACGCACAAAAAGGGCAAAAGTAGTTGTTTTTCGCTGACAATCGGGAGCCGCGATTGTGAGCCAAACACGTCCACTTTTTATGGCTTTTAAGCCTTTTTTGTGCGTTTAAACGCGTTTTTGAAAATGCTTGTCTGCTTGGGTACTTGTAAGGAAGTTTAACTCAATATTAAGAATTAACAAGAAAATAAAAATCGTCACTCATATCACGTTTCTTTTTTAAAATATGTTTAACGAATAAAAGTGGACTCTTTAACTGTTCTTCAACACTTTCTTTAGAAAAATCCTTCATTCATATCACAAAAAAGGAAAAAAAAGAAAAAAACTATTCTCAAACATAACATTTAACAGTCCCTTTTTTATTGATTCTAACACCAATAAAAATTTCATCAGTTGATGTAATTATCATTCCATATGCATCAATTTCTTCAATCATTCCAATAACATGATGTTGATTTGTTGTATCAAATTGTAAATAAATATGTTTTGATGAATCTGTTTTCAATGTATTTGTTTCATCAAGTTTAATAAGAAGACTATTGTCAGAAAATAATGCCGTATCCGAACAAAAATATGTTGTATTACTATAATTATTAACATGTTCATATAATTCTTGTCTTGTTTTTTTATCATAAACATGTACAACTTGTCGTTTTTTATCTAAGACAGCTAAAACATTCTTATTAACAGATATATGCTTTGGTATAAATGTTTTAGGAAATTGTACATATAAATAACGATTTTGAAAATAATCTTCAATTTTATTAGAATATTTTATTTGATCAGGTAATTGACAATAATAAAGGCTAAGCTGTTTTTGATCAAGTGACCAAATTATATTTGTATCTATATCAATTGTTAATTCACGTGATGGATAAGCATGAAAACATTTACCATTTGGTATTAATTTACCATCATGAGTAAATAAATATATCGTACCATATAATTCAGTTTTTTTACGTTTTAATACAATTATCCATAATTTAAAAACAACAAATGAATCAATTATTGTTTGATCATCATCATTTAATGTTAATATTGAATTATCATTAAATAATATTATATCACGTATAAATATTGGCTTTTGTCGAAAATTATTTACTTTATTAAATTCATATATTGATATATATCCTAAAGATAAACACAAAAAAAGAAGTTTTCTTTTTCATTTTGATTAGTTAAATAAAATCGAACCGTATTTATCACAAACAAATAATTGATTATTATAAGTACGAATATAATATGGTACTGATTTATAATCTAGTTGCCATAAAAGTTTTTTCTTTGATGTTAATGGAACAGGTAATGGTGATAATAGTTGATTGATTGTAGCTGGTTTATGGTGATTTTCTTCAATAAATGCACAATCATCATAATTAAGTTCGAGTTGTAAATTATTATCAACATTTGAAAGTTGCGATGGATAAGAATCTAATGAAATAAAATGTAATGTACCAAGTAGTAATGCAATATTGATTTTTTCAGGCAATGTCAGTACGGGAAACTAAATAGATTTCTATAGATTTTTATTAAATAAAAAATAATCATACCTTTAATTCATTTAAATTCAGAAGTTTATTTAAATTATCTAATTGACCTTTAAGATGTTCAATTTCAAATGAAAAATCACTGATTTTTTCAGCAGTTATATCAGTAGATCTAAATAAAATATTGTTGTCATTTATCAATAAAACATTTCCTATACCTTAATAAATCATTGATACGTTTATCAATTGATTCATATTCCTCAATCACTTGTTCATGTGCCAGACTAAAAAACCAATGAATAAACTTGATTTCGATACAGAAGAGAATGTGTTTCATAGTACTGTTACATAAAAAACATCAAAAATTGGACAGTGCTTCCTACCATATAAAAGATAAGTATATCCCTTAGAAATAGTATTGTATAAAAATACGGCTCTTAATGATATTTTGGCAATGAAAGAAGTAAAAATGTAATTAAAAGTTTCTAGACATGGTATTATGAGTTTTATGAAGACGGTTTTTACAACGATGAAAGGAGTTAATATTGAATGTCTTTCAGATTAAAAGCATTGTTCAAAATCTTCAAAATATCAATTGAGTTTTTTGAACAACCTGCTCTGCACCTATTGTCATAGCCTAGCATGAATTTAGCATACACATAAGAATTCTACCAAATATTAGGGAAATGTATCTTGATGCGTGTATACATAAATAGGATTGATATAAATCTCTCCAATCAATTACAAAGTTACACATAAATTGGCAAAAGTCCTATTTAATGAACTTTCGGTAACCCGTATTTTTTTTCACGTGAAATAGAAGAAATAAGAGTGGTAACATATGCTTCTAGATTATGGCTTCTGCTCGTATTCAATTAAATATGATCTTTTTTGTAAATAATAAGTACAAAGTTTTTGAAGAACTCGCAAAAAAATTTGAATAATGAAGTCTGTAGTATTACAGTTAAAATTTATTGTTAATGCATGCGCTAAAAGTTTTTAGACGAAATATCGTTTCACTTTTTGATCAATTATAAGAAAGTCAGTAAAAAGTCTTAACCATTTCTTTCGAATCAGAATTTTGTGTTCTTTCCAAATCTATGTTTAGAATTTCTGAAGATCCCTAGATCAGAAGTTGTGAGCAAGTCTTTGAGAGACTTGAAAATAAAGTTCGAACGGCTATCAGTAAATAATAAAACATCTAGGATGGAAGTAACCTTTATAGTAATTAAACCCATAGAAATAGCAAACATTTCTCAACTAAAGCATATTCTGGTCATCAGTGTCCTATAAGGCTTCTATCAACAATGAGAGTTTTGGTAACAGGTATAACGATGTATTCACAATTCCTTGCTTTCCACACTTACAATGTGAACTTGATCGTTTCTGGCTGATAGCTACGAGACTCTGAATTCTTATGTGACTTTGTGAAGGAAAATCAACTTTTAAGCTGTTCAAAAAACAATTTCTAATAGAAATAAAAGAATGACTATTATCCAGATGCAGATTCAAAACAAAATCCAAATGTGACACAGTCAAAAAATAAAACATAGAATTAAACCAAGTGGTCGTTTTTATAAAATTAACAAGAAACATTACTTAACAAAAGCATTTTATTTTCAAGCATTTCAAAAATTTGTTCATCATTGTTGACCTATGATTAACATTCTTAATCGGTCGAAAAGTGAAGAAACATCTTGTCTGACAATTTGCGATGCAGCTGTTATAAAGATCATCCTGAGCTCGATTATTGAATTTAATCAGACTAGTCTTGCCTATCTTCGTACATATGTTGTTTTTTCTTTAACATTTCTGATATTCGAAAATACTGACGCAAGTTAACTTACAATTGTTTGTCAGTTCGACGATGTTTTTCAATTAAATCAATATAAGAATTTTTATAACAATTAATTGTTTGAATTAATTTATCACCTTGTTCATTGATTAATATCTGCAATTGACGTGCTTTACACATACATTCTTCTAGATCAGTTTCAAAACAATCTAGAAAAAAAAAAGAAAATTCATTAAAATTTAAAACAAAATTTTCTCTTTAATATATACTTGATTGTTCATGAAGTGTTTGAAATTTAGTTTTACATAGATTCCATTCACGTTTAATGGCATTATTAATTATACTTTGATGTTCATCAACACATTTAATACAGATAACATTGTCACAATGAGTACATACAATTAATTCTCCTTTTATATTACATGATTGACATTTAGCTATAAGTAAACGATTTGTTGATTGTAATAAAACAGATGATGACCGTTGTTGATTAAATATTGATGGTGTTGAACGTTGCGAATATGATTGATCATAATTCGAATTGATTTCTTGTGTTAACATACGTACTGGCGTAGATATTGGTATAAATCCATAGTTTGTTGAAATTTGTGACATAGCTGATGTTGGTCGAGATTTTAATCCGGATAATCGACTTTGATTCTTTTTAAATTGTGTTACCATTGATGCAAGAAATCCATCACGCATACAACGATCTTCAAATTCTTCACGTGAATTATATTGATGAAGTTTTTTACATTTAGGACATATTAATACTAATGCTTCATCATCAAAACAACCTGATATACAATCAAAACAAAATGAATGTGAACATGGAATCTAATAAAACCAATCGAAATTATTTTTCAAATAAGAAAACAACAAAATAATCTACCTGACGAGGATCACCGAAAAAATTACGACAAAGTGTACATGTTATAAGATTTACATTGATCATATTAAAAGCAAATCACAGTATAGATTAAAAAAAAGAAATTTGTAAAAATAAAAAAATCCGGAAAAATCTGAAAAAAATTTCATAATGGTTTTTTGTATCATATCATATTAGTGAAATTATATTCATACTAGAAAAGGGATAAATAAAATAAGCTAGACATTGATATTCACAGCATAATCTAGCAAGGGATAAGACTACAAAACGAAAGAATTTCAGTTTTTTTATTCAAATAGTTATATTACGACTATGATCAATAAAATCATGAACGTGGATATCATGAAGTGAACAATAGATGAAGATTAAGCACGAAAATAGCTTTACTTGATTATTTACAAAGAATAGTCCATAGTTGTAGTTTTTTTAGTATGAACACGAGGTTTACAATCCTAAATACTTTTATTATTAGTTAAAAGTTAGGTTCTAAACTTGAGTTTTCTAAAATCATATCATGTTATCAATATTAAATCGATAATTAACGAAGGATAATTTTGATTATTACGAATTATAAACGAAAATTAACATTTGTTCAATAGAAAACAATTATTTAATAATAAAAGGCAAAAGTAAACAGAGTTTTTGAAACATTTAAAAACGAGAAAAATAAGAATAAAAAATGGATTTTACATATTTATATTGAGTCATGTTTTATTCCAATTTGAGTCTAGTTGAATCTAGAAATTTGTAGACTTTTTTCAGTAAATTCAATTAAAATCTAGTTTGTTTTAGCAAGTTCCAACCGAAAGAAAAAAGAAAAAATCTTTCAGTTCATATATATATTTGAGTAAATAGTTTTTATTGATGTTTATTTGTCTTCGATTATCACCTCGCTCATTGATGACAGTATAAATATGAATATATTATGTTGTTAAGTTTTATTGAATTATGTTTCAATCAACGTTAACGATGTTGCACGTTTGTTCACTCTACCGTCGATTGATTAATAGTTTACCATATTATTATATCGACTACTCTATCAACGGTTTTTGTTCAGTTTGAATCACAGAAGCATCCTCTCACCACTATTCTACCAAATATTCCGATAGTTATCCTTTGATCGGTAACTTCCTGTTGGTATACCGTCTGTAGTATGAATGAACATGCGACATGGAAAGTCATTTGTACATGCATTTGAATATGAATAAGTGAAAATAAATATTCTGTCTATCTAAAAATAACAATTACATACGATATTCTCTTAATGGAAATGAAAATTATTTTATAATTTAACGCCTAATTAAAAACGAGATCCATTTAAGTTTAATCTTACCTAAAATTCATTTTTATGTACATGTAAAAATATGTATTTAGTTCATTGCTTAATTTCGGTGAAATATCTTGTATAGAAATCAATGAAACAAAGAAGAAATGTGTTAACAAATGAGAAATATATTATCCTCTAGTTTTCTTCAGACATATATGTTGCATGACAAATCTGACTTCAAACAAAATACAATTTATAGAGATCTTGCATACTATATAAAAAAAAACAAGGAAAACAAAAACTGTTCGAAAACATTGCTAATTGAAATAATATAAGATCATCATATGTATGAAAACAATCTTATTATCTAGATATAACATTCGATTGAGCCATTTTGTTGATGTCTTTTACATCCAAGTAAAATTTCTTGATTTGGTCCAATAGCAAGACCATAAACAGCCGTACGTTCTATTTGTGATATAGGCATACCGTTTGAATCAAGTTCAACTATAAGATGATGAATTGTTTGTGGTCGACTATATGGTGCTAAATCTTCATCCAATTTAAGTACCATTGAATTATCATCACGAAGCTAAAAAATTGATTTTTATTTTTCAATTAATTAAAATACTAAGATAAACTTACTAAAACATTCCATAGACGAAATGAACCTTCCGTACGTAAACGATTTTGTATCTCATCTACTTTTTCTTTTGTTTGTTTATTAAATATGTGTACACTTTGAGAATTACGTTCCACAACTGCAATTGATGTTTGATTTTGTGTTATTCTAAAATTTAAACAAAAATTATTAGACGAAGATACATAACTAACTATCGTAGATCGTTCAGCTTTCTATTGTGGTTACGAGTAGAGTATGATGAGATTTAAAAAAACTTGAAAACAAAGCTTTCCGTGCTGAAATTTTACTTATAGGACACATTTGATAATCTGAAAAGTTTCAACGAAAACGAACATATATTTTTGTTGAAAATTTCAAGATAATCTAGTGACAATCAACTTTGTGCGTAGACCAAATTTCAGATCAAAACTCTTTTTTTTTGAATTTTTAGAAATATATTACTATCAATAAAAAAATTCCTTAAAATAATCATAATTCTTCATTAGTAGTTCATGCATCAGAATCTGTTTAAGCCATTTTTAGTCGCACTAAGACTCACTCGTAAGCATAATATGAAATCAAACAGCATCCAACAGTAGGGTTTGTTCCATCTTTAGTGTATTACAAACATAAAAAACAAACGCTTACCTAATCGGTTCAAAATCTCGTCCAAATTTAATAAAATTTTCTCGATGTTCAATTGATTGTTGAATTTGACTAACGTTCATGGGTAATTGATTGTAATAAACTGGAAAAGTTAATAATTATCCTTAAATCTTAGTATGAAATATGATACCTGTGTGTTGATGACGATCAACACCCCATAAACATTTAAAACTAGTATCAGCTGAAAGTTGTCGAACAGGAAAATTTTGTAAACAAGTATCAGCTTGTTGACTACCACGATGATCAAAAAAATATACTGAACTTGTATCTGTTTGATCACTTAAATCTATATTTAAAAAATAAATAAATATCAATTGGAAAACTTGTTGTTTTTTATATTTTCAACATACGAGCTGCAACGACGATAAATGGTGTATAAACAGTAAAAGCTTCGATTATTTGTGGTTTTTGACTAGTATTATTACTAGGAAATAAAACAAATTGACGTAAATGACGAGGTGCAATACTTGGATCAGTTCCATCAAGTTGATATAAATCAATACAACCATATTTATCACAAGCAAAAAGAAGATAATTTTTTTTTGAAAGTATACATAAAAAATGTGGTACACCCAATGCATCAATTGACCATTGTTTTTGTCTTTTCATGACAGGTACTGATATTGGATCTTCTTCTGATATACTTAATGATTCATCTTGCACTCCATCGCTTGTATTTATAGAACCATGTCCATTTGTTGTAATAAATAATGATCGAGATGAATTACGATTTGACATTGGTTGAGAATTCCATTGTAATTCACCGAATATATCGGATATAATCACAGGTTTCGAAGGGGTTAAACAAGGATACTAGAAAAAAAAACAAATATTCTTTTTATTTTCATAAAAATAAGTATCTGTTTCGATGGAGAACTGACAAAATATTCATTATTTAATGCAAACCTCAAATTTTACAACGACAAGTTAACAAGAAAAGAAGAATTCTTTATTTAAGATTGAAAATTTTACAGTTCTAGACAAAATTAGCTATTACCTACGTGAAGTGTTACTATTCTTTATGATATTGAGCTGATATTTTGAGTGTACGCATGCGACAATTAATCCTGATTGCAAGCAATAGCACGTCCTTCCTCAGTTTACATGTATTCAATGGAAATATGCACTCAAAAACTTTTTGTTGGTTATTTCGCTATTTTCACAAAGTATTACTGTTTTTTTTCTAGCGCTAAATATAGTTCCATATGTTTACTTTCTTATTATTTAAGTCCGTGATACATAGACAAAATTTTAGTAATTAGTATGCTCTGAGATAAACGGATTTCGTTCAATGCTGCAATTCTACGACTTTCAGAACAGACTTGCCATTTCATGTGAATTTTCTATAAAAATTTTCAAATAACTTGGTCAAAATCATCATGACAAAAAATCCATTTTCTTAAAAGCTAGCATTTGCTCTTCAACAGATATTCTTAATGATAAAACAATATCTCAGTTATTTCTAAAGAATGTCTAACAATATTCGGACAAGATATATCGACGATAGTAAACCTTTGAATGAGAGATTTGACGAAAATTTTTACACTAACAAGATTGAGATAAAGTGAACACTAGAGAAAGATGATGTCTGTGTCATAATGCCAGTAGGTTGTAAGCTGAAAGAGAGCGGATTAGTTCTTACGATAAGGGTTCATTGTCGTATATATTCACCCAAACCATAAGCTCAACATCATGAAGAATATTAGTACTTACTAGAAGGTAACTACTTTTCGCTTGAACTATATATTTGATAGTCTAATAATAAATCGAGTTTCATGTCAAAAATGCAAACCTATATTCTCATAAAAAATTTTGAGTAACATTAGTTCTATGCGATGTTTAACAAACTTAGAACCGGTTGAACTTTTTTACAAGTGACCCGTACCGATTGATTAAACTACAGATTTTAATCTGTAAAAACCTAGTTCCTTTCATAGATGTATTAAAAAACTATCTTTTTTTGAGAAAGAGCTTCTTATTATACTAGCCTCAGCATTCGTAAAAATAATTAGAAAGAGCCGGCTATTTCAGTACCTTTTTTATGTCAGATATTTAAACGGATGTAGTTGTTAAAAACTGTCTACGATTTTTTCTTATTAGAATTCTAAAACCAACATACTTTAAATGTATTAGATTGTATATGTTTTAATCGATTAGAAATCTGCATATTAAAATGTTCTATTTCTAAAAGAAAATCATCCGCATTGTATGAAGTATTTGAATCTCTATTAAAATTAAAACAATAAAAATAAAGATTTTCTTTGAAAATATTCTTACTGAAAAGCATCTTCAAGTCGTTGATTAATTGAATTAAATAATTGTTGAAGATCTTTATGTTTAACACTAAGAAAATATAATGAATGCTAAATAGTATTGTTCAATTATTTGTTAATTGTTAACTAAACAACATCAAACTTACTTTGATGTAATTGATTTAATATAATCTTCTAATTTTATTAATAAACTATTTTTTTCACTATCAATTGATTCAACAACATCTAAATATTGTTGTTCAATTGTTTGTCGTACTCGATACATTTCATTTTCAATACAAACAAAATCTTTATCATATGTATCTAAACAAAATAATTATAAAAGATAATTTTGATACAAATAAAAGAAAAGAAATTTTTTATTTTACTTGATAGTTGAGATAAATTATGAAATTTTGTTTTACATTTTAACCAATGTTCTTTAAGTGTTTCATTTAATTCTGATTGATGTTTATTAACACACATTTGACAAATAACTTCATCACAATGTGGACATATAAATAATTCAGTTTTTATTGAACATAATGCACATTTGGCAACAATTGATAATGCTTTAGGATTTGTTGTCATACTCAGAAGAAAAATAAAACAAACAACAATAATTTTATCTGAAAACCAACAAAATAAATAAGCTTGTACGATCGAAACCATTCGATTCATTATTGTTCCATAAAAGAAAACATAAAATAGATTGTGTATAGTATAACAGAATTTCACAAATGTATCCTTGTAGTCAAGATTAGAAATCTTTCACGAAAGAGTCTCGCGATGTAATCTATCGGTTTTGAAGTGAGACTTCACACATGATTTAGCTCCTATGGAGATAAAAGAACTCGAATATAATTTGTGACTACAGATCTTTCTTCTCGAGTTAGATCCATTTCAATATGTTTTTCATCGGACATAGGACATTGAAGACGAAATCAAAAGAGAGTATTTAAACCTGAATTTTCTACTATAGTAAACTCTGATGATAACTAGCATGTAGCAAAAGTTGTAGCGAAGACAAGTGTTTCATTCCCAAGATAGTGAATCTTCGACACTTCAGTAAAACATATGATGTTTTAAAGAAGTGTCATTATCTCAGGAACGAAACATTCGTTTCTGCTGGAAAGTATGATGTATTCAAGCTATCATCAAACTTCTTCATGATAGAAAATTTCAGATCAAAATAGTCTCTTTTGATTTCGCCTCTAGTATCCTACAAAAGACAAAAAAAAACATAGTGAAAATGATTCTGATTTAAGAAGAGAATTTCTATGGATAGGAATCATTCTCGAGTTTTTCTTATTATAATAGAACGTAACATAATAATTGATTTATCACTTCGTAAGATTGCCTCTTTAGTAAAATCAAATGGGTTGTCAATTTTATTTATGACCTTGTATCTCCTGAGACTCGTAGCTTGAGTTTTTTTCCATTCTTTATCAAAAACACAATGAATCATTCCTTCTAATCATGTTACATCAGAAATACATTTAATAAATTATTCAGCAAACTTGATGATTTTAACTTGAGATTGTCATTCGCATACTAATAACACAAATTCCGATTGTCATGGATTTTTCTATGAGTAGACATGAGTGGGATACTGTCGTTTTTAAATTCTGCAGGAAAATTGTTATTAGAGAACTCGAAAGAATTTTCTATTAATATCAAATACTTAAAATCTTATTCAAACATTGTAACTAATCAATTCTTAGTTTTCATTCAGATATATCTAATGGATTCGCTGTAAGTTATAATAATACTTTATGATTAGAGCATTATATCAATGAAAAAACGCTAATATGCTTTAGACAAAAATAATAATTGCCGAAGTATTTGAATTTTTTTATAAAGAGCTTAAAGCAACTTTCTCTCTATAAGATCTCATAGTAGAAACAATGCTCCATATTTCTGTAATATTTTATCATTCTTCAACCAAGATCATATTAACGAAGTTTTGATAAGAAGGTTTGTTATGACATGTGACGGTAATATTAGATCACACTTTGTCGTTGATGTTTATTCTCTTGTTAATGTTTTCTCTTCTTCTCTAATATCTAGTTGTCTATGCATATTAGGGTATACAAAAAGCGATGTCGATCAAAAACAAGACATATAAAAACAAATTCGTCAAACCCAAGTAATTCTCTGAATCTGGCACCATGTGATTTTTATGGTCATTTGACTTAATCAAACACAATTTATGCCATCAAAACTACTTCAAACCATTGCACGATGCTGTGAATAAGTTCATGAATTCTTTGAATACAAAAGAGTATAAAAAACATGAGATAAATGGATTTAACGAATGCGATTAAATATGAAAAATCAGGAGAATTACTTCGAAATTTTAGTTGAAATAAAGATTAGATGAACTTGTTTTAAATACTCATTTTCTTGTACTATTGACACTACTTTTTGGTATAATCTGATTTTTATAGATGGACACGTATTAGAGGATGCGAAAAAAAACAGAGAAAAGCGAAGGAAACATCACGAGGAGAATATAAGTCGGAGGTCAAATATGATCTGATCCTAGTGTCACATCTCACAATGAATGGTCTAATTGAGATATCATTACTATGATCTCAGTTGAAGAATGATCAGATACTAGAGCAATATAGAGAATTTACTGCAAGACCATTGAGAGAGAAAACTTCTTTGAGCTTTTTAGAACGAATCAAAATACTTGGACCGCTACTTCTAGTATGTCTCCAGTAAAATTAATTTTAAGATTAAGACTAAGTTTCAATTCATCCTATGGATGCAACAATCTTGATATGCATGTATAGAGTAATGGTGAATATATGATAGAACTAGAGTAATCTTAGATAGATTCCGAGTTTTTCGGTCGGAAGGACGTCTTATTAAAGAAAATAGCTGAATTTTATACAACATAACTAAACAATTAGAACTAAATCTTGTTCGAACGAGACAATCGAACCTAAGATTTTCGACCAACAATCTATAGATTTGGAAAACTTTTAATCTATTTTTATGACATTCAGTTGTTTTATTAAAATGGTCTCCCTAACGAAAAAACATCAAAATAAATGCAAGACTACTATAGTTTTATCATGCATTTAAAATCGGTCTATATCTACATGTTGAGATCAGTGCAAAACTATACGTAAAATCAGTATCACTGATAATACGGTGTGAAGACGAACGGTGCACTGTCACCGTCACATACCTAGAACAGTATGGTTTAAATTGTTCATATTGTCAAACAACTAACGAATCTAAATTTCTCGTCCCTGTGAAAAAAAATCATTTTCCTCCTTTAAGGTCTTAATTATCATATTGGATTTCGATAATAAATCGAATTTCAATTTTTATGATGTAAAGACTAGAGAAAAAAGTCTATCACTAATTTTTACTCTTGTAATAGTACTTTTCATTTCTGACTTAAAACATTAATTGTCAAACAAACCATTGACATGAAACTGTATATCACCTTTTCACTAATATTTCGATATCTCAGTTATTTAATTTAAAAACAAAAAAAAACATGTCATATTAGTTTATTTAAGAAATAAGGTTGTCTATATTTACTTTCAAATAAAGCGTTTAAATTGAATCAAATATTAAATTGTAGAGACACTAATGAAATCATTGGGAAATAAAAAAATATTTTACCATTATTCATCAAAAATAATATAGTTTTAATGTGTATGTGAAGAAATTTTCCAAGATCCTAAGAAGAAATAATGATCAATATTTTATTCTGTACATTAAAAAAATTAGTTCTTCCGTTTTGTATTTGTTAATCAAGATATTTTCCTCTCTATTTTTTTCGACTTACTGAAATTCACATTTGAAATCATTACCAATCAAAAAGTACATTTGAGATGGCGCTGTTTCTCGAAACCTATCGAAAATGATATAACACAATTTTTGAAAGTGGAAATGGATCATCTTTATTTTAATCACATAGCGCCCTCACTCTCATTAAATGCCGTGTGCGTAAATCACACCAATCATTATGGAGATGTATCTTCGAAATTGGCAAACATAGACAATTGTTCATTGTTTGCCAGTCCAAACAATAAAGACAACATTCGATCCAACACCGTAAGAAAAAAAAGCATTTGACCTGATTACATTTCTTTAGTAACAAATCTTTTTTTCAAATAGTACTTTCTGTATGTGATGAGACAGATTAGGATAGATTAAAATTGTTTAACGTAACAAATATTTTCCTTTTTTTCAAGCAGAATTTATTCGGATATACTGTTGTATGCTGCAAGTTTGTAGTTACTAGAAATAGTATACAAATTATAAGGTCCTAAGTGAATAGATTTCTTCTTCGAAAAATGATGAATGGTATCCTAAATGAGTATACATCTCGACAAATATTTAATGACCATGGTTTTCCGAAAAAAACAGAGAAGGATTTTTTGGAAAAAAGTTTCCATTGAATAGAATATATATTACTATTGTAATACAGACCTAGTATAGGATTTTATAGACTATTCTGTTCGAATTTTAGCTTTGAAAAGAAGTGTATTGATAAAAATTTACAAAAAAATCTTTTAACGACATGAATCTCAAAGGAATTTCTATTGATCATTGTCAGCAAATTTCTTTTATGATATTCTTTCGTTTTTGACGTATTCCGTGAGTTTTATCAGTCATACTTTTCATTAATAAGTTGTACACTTTTTCATAGAAATGAGATAATGTTAGTCTTAGACTGGTGTAATTAAATTATATGCTGTACTAATTAATTACCGTAATCGAATCTGTAGCAACAATACTTCTAAATCTTATTTTTATTGTTCATGCATGTCTATTAATTATATCAAATGATTTGAAGTAAAACAAAACAAATGAGTGTGATCTAGATATTAATTATGAAAAAGAAAAACATTTATTATCAATATGTTATAGACAAACATTTTCATAGCATGTTTGTTTGCTCTATACGACTGACATATGCGCAATAGAAATAAAAGTAAATAATTTTTATCAAGACCATATTATAAAACAACCCTATGCATGCATCAACATCGGTCAAATTACGAAAAAAAGAGAACAGTATGTTTAAGATAAGAACTGAGTTTCATCCTTTCTTTTTTTATTTTCATCTATCTTTCAGTGCTATATTCTACACAATGAAAATAATAAAAAAACAACCATATATGGAAATAAAAAACTATTGACATTAGTCAAGACTACTCGACTTGATTAACCACTGGGCTTCATCAACAATATTTCCAACAGTTTTTAACATTATGATAGACAATATTTTGTTATTAAGTGTTGGAAAATAGTATATGCGTAACTTTTATAGTAGTTTTTGATTTCTTCCATATTGATATCAATGTGAATTGATATATTTTAGATATATCCTTGTTTATTTCTTTAAGGTATTTCATAATAAAATTATTTATTATGAAGTAATTCAAATGATGAATAATGTTTTAACACAATGATTGATAATATAAATATTATTTCACGGTCAGCATACGACAATTTTTTCCGAGATATTATAGAAAAAAATCAGTAAATAAAAAGCACATGCTTTTAGTCTTGTTAAGTCAATATGCACTTTGTCTCACCTTATAATTCTTTTATAGTTAGCTTCTGGGCAAAATCATTTATTTAGCTAACAGAAATATTTCTTATTTATTTATAAGCATTAAAATTTGAGACAAGAAAAATATTTACATGCAGTTATTTTCTTTAAAATAAAAAAAAATGTTACTTTCAATAGTATCTAAAGAATTTTTCCATCTACATCTTATTGGTAGATTTCGTATGAAGCATATGTATATATTTACATCAAAATACAAATTAAAACCACTTGTTCTTAACTTTAGATTTTAAATAAAATAAAACACTTAATTTCAATTTAGTGTTACAAAAAAGAATAATAAAACAAAATCATAATATTCATTTTAGATAATCATCAATTTTTAGTCATGGCAACAAATAATTTAATGGAATCAGTTCAAAAAGCTGTTTTAGCTGAAGTAACAAAACATGATCATGAATTAAAACATGTTGATCCGCCAGGAGAATCATTATCAACAACTCAAGCTAAAGTATTACTTGAAGTACAAGGTGGTAAACATGAACTACATCATGTTGATCCA